AAATGCCAAACAACTACCATCTAACAATGCAACTTCCTCTTTTCCTCTGAATAAGCATCGTCATTCTGGAAATGCATTGACCATGTTTTTGTTTTCATTTTCACAAGTTTCTCAAAACTCGAAATTTGATTTATGAGATGCAGAGAAGATTTGGAAATGTTTTATTTGATTTATTACTTGAAAGCCTCAACAACATGCAATAAAGTAAAGCACTAAAATATCTAAATTCATTAGCTCCTTGGGAACTGGGATAAATTCCAGACAATCCATGAAACAGAAAGCACTTCAGCTATTTCAATACCAGTCTATGATAACCAGAAAGCCAAGAAGTCAAGTTCAAAAATAGATTAGTGAAATTACATCTGAGTGAGAAAAATGCACAAAACCTTATTCAAATGGGAAAATTTGCACAAAAATGGATTGACATACTTATTTATAACTGAGATTGAGCCGCTCAAGCAATCAATCCAAAACATCATAATATCCACCGTAAACTAGCTACTATAAAAGAGATATAATCAAAACTCACTAATGCTGGTGACAAACTCATTGAATCAACTCCATCTACAGTACAATAAACAGTATACCTGCAAAGCAACTCAAGCTTGTCAGATCACCAAATTTAGATATGAGTTTAAGTTTAATGCAGCGACAGCATACAAAATTATTTACACAATCAAGTCACTTATAAGGTAACGGCAAGTAAATCTCTATAATAACATTAATTGGTAACCTGATAAAAAAAACCTGCTATCACAAGTTAAAGAACACTGACTGTGTAAACTGCATAAATTAATCTTTTCAGATATATATATTTATTAACTTAAATAACTGAAAAGCATTCATTTCTATGGTTTCACTAATCAAATAGAAAACAATAAGATCATTCACGTGCTACTCTACATACCTAAAAACTAAACAGTGAAGATTCCGCAGAAACGAAATCAACCGGCATTTTCAGTACTTTCTCAATTAAATAGCATAGAGAGTCAGTAAATAGGTTTAATTTACTACTAAAACTTGTTTTTCAGCTAAATAAAAGTTGAAAATATAGCTCAAAACATAATACGAGATCATAAGTCGGTAATTAGTAAACAAGGGTAATAAGGCGACAGGTTTAAGTAAAGAAGCTTACTTTCTCCGGCGAGAAGTGGTAACACCGGAACTGGAAAATGCGTGAAAAACGACGGAGGGAGAAGAGTTGACGCCATAATCGGGATCGGAGAACGCCGATCGAAGTGAAGTGAAGAAAGCTTTGGCGATAGCCATGAAGAAAATGGAGAGAGAGAGAGATTTTGTGATTCAACGGTGAAGTGATTGGACTTATGAGAGCAGTGAAAAGGTGGAATATAGTGGCGTTTGGACACTAAGAATGGTAAAGTTTCGGAGAAAAAATTAATGAAAAAAAAAGCGAAAATAATTTTTAAAAATTTGAGTTAGCGTTTGAATATGAATATAATTTTATGTTATTTTTAATTTTTTGTAAATGATGTGGAGTGAAAATTTTAAAAATAACTTTTTAAAGTTTTTATTTCAAAATTAATCTTTTAAAATCCGAAATTTCATGGCCATTTCGAAAAAAAGTCAAAAAAGTCAACAACAAAAAAAATTAGCCAAACGGGGCCATAATATGTACTGTAAGATATTTTTCTTTTAAAACTTCGATAGCAACGTTGGTGCTAGTATGCGTCAGCTTTGTGGATCCACTTGCCGCATTGCAAAAGCCACGTCAGATGGGTCCCATTCCCGCTGCTTTTTATTATGCTTCTTTTTTCTTTTCTTTTTTGATAGTTGGATTTTCAACTTGATCAATCATTACTTTAGAATTGTTTTTTTCCCCAGAATAGGATGGGTGTATATTGTATAATTGTTTTCTTCCAATAATGAGGGTAATATATTAGGAAAATTGAAAACAGCTTGCTAACTTGAATAAGCTTAGAGTTATGTGAAAATATGAGAAGCCTCTGAGTTGAGATTTCCTACTCAAGAAAAACTAAATGAGTAAATTAATAAAACGAGCTTTCTTATTCATAAACTACACCAACAATGAGTTTCTTAATAATTTTCTTATTTATAAACTACACTCAAAATGAACTCTGTAATAGTATCCGTGACAAAAATATTTAAATAAATTTAATTTGTTACGTAGGGTATAAGATTATTTGTAACTAAAAAATATGAAAACCAGTGGAGGATAATTGTGAATAGAACAATCCTTATTGTTACCCGTAATGATAATTTCAGTTATAGTTTAATTTGCTCGTTAACTTTTTCTGATGTCAGGTTTTAAATAGCTATCTACTCGAACTTTTTACGAAAGAGGTGAAATTTGATTAGTCGCATGTAAAACAAAATTATCACGAGATTGATAGAGCCTTTCGTATAAAGGAATCTCGGAGCTTAAACTAGCTGATGATTTATGTGAGGTGGAATTTCTTCTTTTATAGAGTAACCTAAATAAAATCAATATTATCATTTTGAAAAAATTATACTTTTTACTTTATTTATATTTTAAAACCCAAACTTATTTTCAAATAATATTTATGTGATTTAAAAAAAAATTATACTCACCGATAAAAATACACATAGAACGCGTGTCTAGAGACTGATATTATTCTGCAAGTAGGAAGCCCTGAATCAAATTAGTGAAAGAGCAAAACACGCTAAAATATTGATGGTTTATACCTACCAAGACTAAATATAGATGTAAATAAAAAGTAAAAATATTTTGTAACAAATACAACAGCAACAACAACAACGACCCAGTAAAATCCCACTAGTGGAGTCTGGGGAGGGTAGTGTGTACGCAGACCTTACCCCTACCCCAAAGGAGTAGAGAGATTGTTTCCGAAAGACTCTTGGCTCAAGAATACAAAAAGACAAAAAGACAAAAGGAGATAATATTAGTATCACCCCATAAATCATAAGAAAAGTAACAACACGGGAACAAGAAGATAGATACAAAGCAAAAGTGATAGCCAGTAAATAGACCCGACACTATGAGAAATGAAAGAGTAGTAAGACACAACATTGTCACTCACGGCAAAAACCCTACCAGACTAGCCTCACAAAGATACGAAGAAAGTAAAGACTAAACTACCTCCTAGCCTACAACCCTAATCCTTGACCTCCACAAATTTCTATCAAGGGTCATGTCCTGCCTAATTACCTCTCCCCAATACTTCTTACGCCGTCCTCTACCTCTTCTCATGCCCTCCACAACTAGCCGCTCACACCTCCTTACCGGAGCATCTGGGATTCTCCTTTGTACATGCCCGAACCATCTGAGCCTCACTTCCCGCATCTTGTTATCAATGGGCGCAACACCCACCCTCGCCCGAATATCATTGTTCCTAATCCTGTCCATCCTAGTATGTCCGCACATCCATCTCAACATCCTCATTTCTGTTACTTGCATCTTCTGGATATGCGAGTTCTTAACAAGCCAACACTCAACCCCATACAACAAGGCCGGTCTAACTACCGCTTTATAAAACTTACCTTTGAGTATCGGTAGCACTCTCTTGTCACACAGGACTCCAGATGCTAACCTCCATTTCATCTACCTCACCCCAATACGGTTTGTGACATCCTCGTCGATCTCCCCTGCCCCTGGATAACCGACCCAAGGTACTTGAAACTGCCTATACTTGGGACGACCTGTGATCCAAGCTTCACATTCACGCCCACTTCCCTTGGCTCAGCACTGAACTTACACTCTAGGTATTTCGTCTTCGTCCTGCTCAGCTTGAAACCCTTATACTCAAGAGCCAGTGTCCAAACCTCCAGCTTCTCGTTAATGACGGCTCGCGACTCATCAATCAGAACTATGTCATTAGCGAATAGCATACACCATGGCACCTCCCCTTGAATATGGTGTGTTAACGCGTCCATCACCAGGGCAAACAAGAATGGACTGAGCGCAGAACCTTGGTGTAACCCCATAACAACCGAAAAATCTTCAGAGTCGCCTCCTATTGTCCTAACCTGAGTCTTAGCCCCATTATACATATCCTTAATCGCCCTAATATAGGCAACCGCATACCTTTTGCCTCCAAGCAACTCCAGAGAACTTCTCTAGGAACCTTGTCATACGCTTTCTCTAGGTCAATAAACACCATGTGCAAATCCTTCTTCCTTTCCCTATACTGTTCCATCAACCGTCTAACAAGGTGTATAGCTTCCGTAGTAGAATGACATGGTATGAACCCGAACTGGTTGTCTGATATTGACACTGTCCTCCTCACCCTCGCTTCAACCACCCTCTCCCAATTTTTTATGGTATGACTCAGTAATTTGATACCCTTATAGTTGTTACAACTCTGGATATCGCCTTTGTTCTTATATAACGACACCACTGTACTCCACCTCCACTCATTCGACATCTTCTTTGTCCTAAAAATAACATTAAATAACACAGTCAGTCACTTCAAGCCTGCTCTACCCCCATACTTCCAAAATTCAAACAAAATTTCGTCTGGCCCCGACGCTCTGCCCCTACTCATCTTACGCATAACTCTCATGACCTCCTCAACCTCGATGGGTCTGCAGTCCCCAAAGTCACGGTGACTCCCGGAATGCTCTAGTTCACCTAGAACAATATCATGATTCCCTCCTTCATTCAGAAGTTTATAAAAATAAGTATGTCATCTCATTTTAATTTGGGCATCCTCCATCAATACTCTATCATCGTCGTCCTTGATGCATCTCACTTGGTCCAAATCCCGAGCCTTCCTCTCTCTAGTCTTGGCCAGCCTGAATAACTTCTTCTCCTCGCCTTTTTCCCCTAGTTCCTCGTACATACGAGCATAAGCCGCAGTCTTAGCCTCTGAGACCTCCAACTTAGCTTCCTTCCTAGCTACCTTATACCTCTCCAAGCACGCTCGCCTCTCCTCCTCACATGTGCTCCCTACTAACTTCAGGTACGCCACCTTCTTCGCTTCCACTTTACCTTGGACCACTTTATTCCACCACCAGTCTCCTTTGTGCCCGCTAAAGACTCACGCCGAGATCCCTAACACCTCTCTTACAACTTCCCTTATACAGCCTGCTGTCATCGACCACATAATGCTTGCATCGTCGCTACTCCTCCAGGCTCCCACAGCTGACAACCTCCCCTCCAACTCTTGGGCTTTATCCTTGGTCAATGCTCCCCACCTAATTTTCGGTCTTCCTCGGCCATACATTTTCCTCCTCTTTAACATAATACCAACGTCCATCACCAAAAGCCTATGTTGCGTCGCGAGTACCTCACTCGGAATAACCTTGCAATCCTTGCACAACCCTCTGTCACATCTCTTGAGGAGGAGATAGTCGATCTGAGTCTTTACCACTGTATTTTGAAAAGTAACCAAATACTCATCTCTCTTTGGAAAACTGGAGTTCGCAATCACCAACCCAAAAGCCTTAGCAAAGTCCAACAGCGAGGTACCTCCTCTGTTCCTCTCCCCAAAATCGAAGCCTCCATGCACCTCGTCATAACCACCTGCAGTCGACCCAATACGACCATTGAAATCCCCTCCTATAAATAGCCTCTCCGTAGGCGGAACCTGGCGCACAATCTCATCTAACCCCTTCCAGAAGCACCATTTAATCTCCTCAGCCAGGCTCGCATGTGGCGCGTAAGCACTGACAATGTTTAAGGTGGACTCTCCAACTACTAACTTAATAGTCATCAATCTGTCATCCACCCGTCTAACCTCTACCACAGACTCTCGTAGTTCCCTATCCACCAAGATACCCACGCCATTCTTACCCTTCTGGACCCCGGAGTACCATAGTTTATACCCGTCCGCGACCCTCACCCTCGACCCTACCCATCTAGTCTCCTGGACGCACGCTATATTGACCTTCCTCTTCCGGAGGATCTTCGCCAACTCTACAGTCTTACTCGTCAATGTACCTATATTTCATGACCCAATTCTTAACCTATAAGCGCCCTTGTTTCCCTTACCTCCATTGCCACCCTCCACATCCCCTAACATGATATAAATCCATAACTAATAATGTAAACTTTATAATACATAAAGAGACTACCATGAAATTCAAAAATAGCCAAATTTACAAGTGGTAATTGAAAAATAGCCACAATTTCAAAAGTAATCAAAATTTAGCCACTTTTCATGTAAAGATAAATTTGAATGAAAACATTGTTCAAAATTCGAAAAATATTCTAGCATAATATACTGGACTTCCAGCATAATATACTAGATTTCTAGCATAATATACTGGACTTCCAGTATAATATGCTGGTCCAGCATAATATACTGGACTTCCAGTATAATATGCTGGTCCAGCATAATATACTAGTCCAGCATAATATGCTGGAAGTTCATACACAAGTACTCAATCTCCAGTATATTATGCTGGAACTTTCCGTGTGTTGGAGTTCCAGCATAATATGTTGGAAGTTCATACACAAGTGCGCCACTCTCCAGTATATTATGCTGAAACTTTCCGTGTTGCAGCAAAATAGTGGATATTTTTCAATGACTTTGCAAACACTGGCTATTTTTCAATTACCAGTCTGAAAAATGGCTAGCCCGTATTATTTTCACTTTAATTACATCATTTGTGTTGGTTCAATTAATCAACAATAATTATAAATCTTTTTTTTAGGGTTCTTGAATTAGAAGCAATTATGAAGAGTCTGAATAAATTTCTTACACAATAATTGTAGACATATAAAATTTATTTGGTCTAATCCATACAAAATTTGGATTAAATTCAATTGGGTTAAATAATTAATTTGGACTTTACAAATTAAATTAGTCCATTTTATTATTTTTAAGCCCAAGGTCCATTTTATCTTAAAGCCCAGACTCATGCCATGTGTCAAGTGACATGGCATATCCAGTCAAACTCAAAGCCAACAAGATGACGCCACGTGTGAAATTATGTGGAAATCCCAGTCTACAACAGTGACCAATCAAGAGTTGCCAAGTGTCTAAAATGACATGTCTTGGACAATCACAAGCAAGCTTATCATATAGCTTATGTGATAAGTTTGATGACTCACATGAGCCAATCAGAATCAAGCAAGAGAGTTCATATGTAGCTGGACTGTCCATCCTCTACCACTATAAATAGAGGGGTTACATAATTCTCTGGGACATTCAGAGTTGGAGAAGAACATTCCGCAATTGGTGAAGGCATTCACAAACAGAGAGATCAATCATCAAGTGCATTGTTCTTCAACAAAGGAGTGATCAACGGAGTTCTTCCCGGAGATCAACCCGTAACAACAAGTGCTGCTCGACGTTCTTGGTGATTAAATACATCATAAGGAGGTCTGCATCGTCCTACATTCGAGAAAGATGCTTCTCAAACCCTCGAATCACGGAGAATTTTAAAGAGGAGAATCAAGGGATACATAGAATTGTACTCACAAATATTTATCAATAAAATCTCTTTTTCTTCATATTATTTTTATTGCCGTTTATTTTTCGGACTACGCAAATTTATTGCGAATAAATTTTGGCACGCCCAGTGGGACGCATTCTGCCCTTCATCTCTCCTTCTTGTAAGTTGAAAACTACGAACTTTAGATCTGCTGCTACAATGGCCTTCCGTAAGTGTGATGTTTCATGCAAAGATACTACTGTTGCCGCATCTGCGGAGCTCAGTCATGTTGGCCCAATCACTCGAAGCAAGTTCAAGGCTAGTGGCTTGGATGGATCCGAATACTCCGCCTCCTTGGAGATGGCAAAGAAGAGCAGATCTCATATGACGTCCGCAACCGCAATCTCTGGGGGCAACACCCCATTCTCGCTATTTGACGAACTTTCTCAAACAACCTCAACCCTTGGTGGATTTGATGATTTGGTGGATTCTCCAGTTTTAACAAAAGTCAATGCCTTAATGACCGACGCAACTAACATGGACGAAAAGTTCACCATGATGGAACAGACTATAGAGGTCTTAAAGAAATCTGTTGAAGACAAAGACCTTCAAATCGCTCAACTCATGAACAAATTGGAGGCCTATGCACCTGGAGAGTCGAGCCATGTCCCTCCTCGTTCACCTGTCTTCACCTTCCAAAAAACGGTTGTTGAGGAATCATTTGCAAAGTTCAACATTCAAAAGGAAAAGCAATCCACTTCAGTTGCGGAGTTATCTGTCCCGCAATTGTAAGACATGATAACAAACACCATCAGAGCTCAATATGGCAGACCATCGCAAAGTTCGTTGTACTACTCTAAGCCTTATACTAAGAGGATTGATTGTTTAACCATGCCAACCAATTATCAACCACCAAAGCTACATCAATTTGATGGCAAAGGGAACCTAAGGCAACATATTGCCCACTTTGTCGAGACTTGTAGCAATGCTGGAACGCATGATGACCTTTTGGTAAAACAATTTGTTCGTTCTCTGAAAAGGAATACATTTGACTGATATGTTGACTTGGAACCCGAGTCCATTGATAGCTGGGAGCAACTTGAGAAGGAATTTCTCAATCATTTTTACAATACCCAAAGAATTATAAGCATGATAGAGTTGACATGCACCAAGCAAAGGAAGGACGAGCCCGTGGTGGATTACATTAATCGTTGGAGAGCATTAAGTTTGGATTGCAAAGATCGCCTTTCAGAAATATCTGTTGTGGAGATGTGCATTCAAGGAATGCACTGGGGCCTTTTGTACATCCTACAAGGGATCAAACCATGAACTTTTGAAGAACTTGCAACATGAGCGCACGACATGGAGTTAAGCATCGCAAGTCATGGAAAGGCATCTCCATTTGCTGATCAGAAGGAGTTCAAGAAAAATGTTGCATCAAAGAACCAAACCAAAGAATCAATGGCGGTGAAAGCAACTTCTGTGAAGGTCACTACTAAGCAAAAAGTGAAGGAGGATAAGACCCCTAGTCAATATCCCAAAGAGGAGAAGCGTCGTCCTACCTTGAAGGAATTAGAGGCGAAGGTTTATCCTTTTCCAGATCCAGACGTACCCACAATCCTTAATGGACTGCTGGATAAGAAAGTCATCGATCTCCCTAAATCAAAAAGGCCAGAGGAAATTGGCAAAGTTGGCGATCCGAAATACTGCAAGTTTCATCGCGTCATTAGCCACCCTACAGAGAAATGCTTCGTCTTGAAGGAGAAAATCTTGGCTCTTGTAAGTGAAGGAAAAATCATCATAGACATGGATGAAACAGCAGAAGCAAATCATGCAAGTATCGCACTCAAAGAAAAGAAGTGTTCAAGGTTGCAGAACGCATCAAGTACCGCCTTCTTACAATTTGGAAGTTTCGAGCCCGTTGAAGTTGATCTTCCAAGGGAAAATCTTGAAGGTTCACTAGAGTTGGACACTCAGTTCAAAGACAAAGACAATGAGGATTGGACTTTAGTCACTCACAAGAAACAAAAATATCAAGCAGTGTTGAGGCTACAACTTCCCAAGCCAAGAGCAAAAATAAGCGATGTGGATAAGCTACAACCACCAAGAATTGTCAAATCTTCTATTAACAAGAAGATTAACGGTGCCTTATCGTTGAAGTTCCGAAAACCCATCACATTGCATGAATTCTTTCCTGGAAAATTCCTCCATGGAGGTCACGTTGGTGCAACTTATGTAGTTTCCAGTACTGATGAAACAAAGGAAAGCAACAATGATCTTGTTCCAATTAAAACACCAGAACATCATGATAACGGAAAAGTTGTCACATGTTGTGCAATAATTTCCTTCACAGATGATGACTTGATGTTGGGTTCTAAGCCACATAACAGACCTTTGTTCGTTGTAGGGTCCATTCGGGAACAACATCTCAATCGCATACTTGTTGATGACGGTTCAGCTGTCAACATCATGCCAAAGATGGTGCTAAAAAAGCTTGGGATCTCTATCGATGATCTATCCAAAAGTAACCTAACAATCCAAGGTTTTAACCAAGAAGGACAACAAGCCATAAGTATGATCCGTGTGGGATTATCCATTGGTGAGATGAAGTCAAACACCCTGATTCACATCATAGATGCTAAAATATCATACAACTTGTTACTTGGACGTCCTTGGATTCATGAGAATATGGTGGTATCATCTACTTTGCATCAATGTCTGAAGTACATAAAGGATGGAGAGATAGTCAAAATTGATGCAGACATCAAGCCCTTCACTGAGATGGAGTCATACTTTACAGATGCAAAATTCTCTCTAGATTTTTGTGAACCGAGTGTCGAGAAACCATAATCAGACGACGAAGCTGATGTCAAGTAAGAAGAAGAAAATGAGGCTCAATGGACTACCACCAAGCTGCCTAAGAAGAGAACTGAAGAAGTTTCCATTAAGCTATCATCATTTGAAGGTGACATACAGACAAAGACTGAGGATTATCTAGTTTTTTGCTATGTTCCACGTGAGCATCGAAAGAAAGGGCAACCTTTGCTATAGGAATGTACTCCAAAGAAGCAAATGAGTCATAAATATATCCAACATTTGAAGGAGCATTTGACTATCCCAATTGCACAAATCCCATACGTGACTTGTGAGTATACTAAAGGCAATCTCCAAGCTAATAAAATAAAAGGGCACTATGATCTAAGGCCTTCATATTGCTTGAAAAGTCTGGTTATGAGTTCTCCAATCCATCAAGACTAGGAGAACTCAAAGACAAAGTCACTGGTGAAAAGATACATGGGGTCAATGAGTCCCAAATGAAGTTGAGAAAGTAAGGGCACTACGTCGCCACTCCAAAGTTTGGGTTGGGATTCAGTTTGGCAGAGCCTCTTCGAATTTCATATAAGAGAAGCAAAGAGATAGCTTCATCACAACACACCTCGGTAGAGGAGATGGAGGAAGTTAAGGGCAAGAAAATAAAATAACGGGCTTTAGTGTTTGATCACATTGGAGGCTCAACCCCTCAGGTCTCGGTATTTGAAAGGCTAAGTCACAAAAGTGAACATGTATCTTCCAAACGTCTAAAGGAAGTTTCCACTACCTCAAAGACCTCTGTCTTTTGTCGCCTGGGAACCACAAGGAAGTT